TAGAATTTCTATCAATAATGTATTTTAATATAGAAGAACATGAGAACACTGGTCAGTCTTGCACGCACAGCAAGTTCAGAGGTTGTTGTTGTTGTTGTTAAGTGCCGTTGGGTCAAGTACGATTCATAGCGACTCTATGAACAAAAGATCTGAACCCTGTCCTGTCCTGTGCCATCCTCACACTTCCTGACACCCAAGAGCCCCCTGCAGCAGTCACTGTGTTAATCCACCTACTTGAGGGTCTTCCTCCACTTCTCCAACCCTCTACCCTTCCAAGCATGATGTCCTTCTCCAAGGAATAGCTCCTCCTAGCAACTTTCCCAAAGTATATGAAGTGAAGCCTCCTCATTCTTGCCTCCAAAAGCATTCTGGCCACACTCTCTCTGAATTCTGTTCACACACAAACTCTGTTCATTCTCCTGGCTGTCCATAGGATGTTCAGTGCTCTTCTCCACCACCACAGCTCAAAGGCATCAACCCTTCTTCTGTCATTCTTACTCACTGTCCAGTTCTCAGATGCATTGTAAGTGATCAGAAAGACAGTGACCTGAATTAGATGCACCTTAGTCCTCAAATTGACCTCATTACTCCACAGTAATTTGGAGAGATTCCTTATGCAGATTTTCCCAGTGCAATTTGTTTCCTTATTTCCTGACTGCTGGAACCAACAGTGTTAACTGTGGATGAAGCTCCTGACAGTTTCAATCTCTTCTCCATCCATCATGATGTTGCCTATTGGTCCAGCGATAAAATCTTGGTTCAGAGGTAGAGAATAGTAATACTGTTCCCACCAAGAAAAGAATAAGTATAGAGAACAAAGGTAAGATTCCAGGGTCTTCTTATGAGAAAGTAACATGTAGGAGTTAAATGAACCTGAAATCCAGCGCCATGTTTGTAAAGGTGACCTTGGGGTCCAAGTTTCATTTGTGAATCTCAGTTTCTTTCCTTATAAATTAGGAGGGAGCAGTGATGCTTGGGCCAAAGATGTGTTCTGAAGATTAAATATGGTGGTGTGTGGGGCATGAATCCAAACAGAATCAGGCTTCAAACTGGTTCGCTCTGGTTTGACTCCTCATTGAGAACTTCCATATTTGCCCTGAATATGTTGTTGTTGTTGTTATGTGCCGTTGAGTCGTTTGCGACTCATAGCAACCCTATGCACAACAGCCCTAAACCCTGCTCTATCCT